GATTTCTAAAAATTTTTGAAAAATCGCATCGAACAAATAACGAACGAGACGAGATCGATCGACAATTTTTACTTATACGCGGTTATCTTACCGAGCAAGCAATCAGTTATTAATGATTTTTATCTTTATAAATTAATTTAATAATTCGATAATATTTTTCTCTTCTTATCACTTCTCTCTCTATCATTTTTTTAAACTCTTCCCTAAAATATTATCATTAAAAATCAACAAACAAATTCATTCTTTTCATTCCGCCAATCTCGAACACCGCCATTATCCACGAATTTTTTCCCCTCCGAATCATCCATGTTGTTTCACGTTGTTTCTCATCAACGGGCTAATCATCCCGTTTCGGTGATCACATCGACGATACTTCGATTTTCTGCACGGGCAACCGCTGCACACTACAGCGTGCACTTACTTTCTTCGGCCTCGATCCCCTTGCGGGAGCCTCGCTTACGTATCGCTTTCGCAATCATTATTAGACGTTGTTGCGCAAGCGTGAGAGCGGGGAGGGAGGGGGGAGGGGGGAGGGGCGGGTGTCTGCCCTATATGAAATATCGCCCGCGTTCAATCTCGGCCGCGGATACGTTGTAATTAGCGTGCAAGACACTGCAACTCTGGAAGTCGAAGCCTCTAACGTGGCGTGAATGCGCGATATCGCGGCTCGCAGGACACACTCCGTGATGTGTATATATGTGTGTGTATGTGTCTGGAAAAATTCAGATGCCATTTCAGATAGGTGGCAAGGAGATTCGCCGTAACAGTGTTGCACGGAGACTGTGGTGTGGAAACTTTAACCAAGCACACGACGACACACGATCATCCTCCCCCCGCAGTTATATTCGTTCGCTCGCTTTTACGTCCCGTATTAACGCCCATCCCGTAATAATAAGTCATGCGGATTCGATCGATAACAGTAGCCAGTGATAGAAACGGGGAAAAGGGTGTTGGCGATTTTCCTATTTGGAGATTCGACGTGACCGATAAATCTTTCTCCGTGTGAATGTGTATTGAAGGAAAGGAGAGAGGGAGGGGAAAGAAGGAAAGATAATTGCACGAAATGAAAACGACGAGGTATCGAGGAACGACGATCTAAGATAAACGTTCGTTGTTGTGCAAGGGAAAACGCGTTGACAGATGGCCGAACGAAACGAATTCTCTGTTACTTGCTTATCTACGGTCGGTATATGATCGGTATATTAACAGATTAATTTTTTGTTAAGTTAAGGACGTAACAAGGCGTCGGTAAAAAAGGAAAATGAAGCGAATTTATATATTTCTGAGAGAAGGGAAGCTGATCCGCTTTTTCCGCTCATTAATTTCGTTTATTTATTTTTTTTTTTTACTCGTTTTGTGATGTTTTCATATCGTGTTCGTTAATTGGTGAACAATACCAGTTTATCAGTAGAGAAAATCTCATATAATTGTATCATCCTCCAAACGTTTTATTTCCGTGAAAAATGACTATCATTCTCATTTTCCAATCAAAAATTTTGCAGATCAAATCATTTTATCCAAATTCTATTTCAAAAAAATGATGGATGATTATACTGTACAAGTTTAGTTATATTCTATTTTCGTGATCTTTCTGACTTTTGATTTGTATATAAAAAAAAAATCTGTGATGCATTTTATCATCAATTCAATGACGTTTCTCGTTAAAACGATTCCACGATATTCTTTTATATTAACTGACGAACTATTATTATTTGAACAAACATAGATGACGAATGGGGATTTCTCTCTTCTTTTCCCTATACATTTTCCCTATACGATTTCAAAGATTTCAATCTTTATCGAGTTGCAAACGAGTTCGTCCTCGAAGCGACGAGAAACGAAACGGAATGCGCGCCGCATTCCATAGAAAAACGTCATTGTTTCCAGTGCTAAAAGTTCGTAGGTTATCTTTCATCGTTGACCCGACACGTCGACACAACGTGTTCTTCATCGAGTGCCAACTCAATTAACGCGATCACGACAACGATAAATCGTTTTATCCCTTTCGCACATTCCTTTCCTTCCTCTTTTCCTTCCTCCTCGCGGGCCACGCGATTCGAGCAAAAGGGAAGCGTTAAAAGAGGGCGACACGTATATAACCAGAAATAAACAGAACAAAAGAAGTTTAAAAAAAATCCCTTTTGAACACAAGAGTTCTAGCTGCTGGCTAGAATCCATTAGAAAGCAAGTTAAAGAGAAGTTTCTCCTATTACGAAATCTATTCACACTCGTTTCATAATTTACGCGCTGCTTTATTTTCTTTGTAACGGTTTCGAACAATCCGATTAAGTAAGCGCGACAATCTTTCGAACAAAGAGGCGCATGCTTAAATATAGCCCAGCGGCCGGGCTAAGTTTATCTTTATTGAGGTTTATATACCGGTCCGTGTCGACCTCGTTGCTGTACAAAGTAGCTTGCCTGTTACGCGTTCACCATCTCCCCGACCATAATTTTTCACAATTGATAATTATCGCACTGTGAGAGAAAGGAACGAGAATTATTTAATTCCTGCCGAATTTCGTATTCTGATCTTTCGTATTTTTTTTCACAAGTGGATCCTGATATCGAGAGTGAAATGTCGAGAATGAAAATTATCCTCAAAGCTCAGCATTTATTCGTAAAAAAAAAAAAAAATCAAGAACAACTCTCAAATCCTCTCCTTTCATATTCTTTACTTTATTCATATTTAATCAGATAATCGCGATGAAAGAGTTGTGAAAACAAAAGCGTTTTTTGTCGAAGTGCTCTCTGCTATCGGGAGAAAAGAGTCACGGTATCTGTGTTTAACCATACTTTGGCTCAACATACATACACAGTCAGATAAGTAGCGAGCGATTACACGCGCTAAAAATGTAAAAATACGAACGATTCGAACAATGGCTCGAAATGTGATCGTAGAATAAAATGAATATAAATGTTTCGCAAGGGATTTTCACTTATCTTTTAAAAAGAAAAAGAAGAAAATTGGAAATCGCGGTGTTGACAAGACGTGTCCATCGGTAAATCATTGACCGGGCACACACAAGTTGGTCACGAGCGATGACATGTTTCGTAGCCCTCTATCAGGACGAGTCTATTAAATCTGCAACAGGACGGAATGTCTGCCACGGTCATTACCATTCCGCCAAGTCGTAAGTTATCTTCGCTGACAGTGGGCGCGCATAGAAATGTCTTCGGCCGTGATACCTTCTGACTTCTTCTTCTCCTCCTTCTCCTCCTTCTCCTTCTCCTTCTTCTTCTTCTTCTTCTCCTCCTTCTTTTTTCCTTCTTTTTTCCCCTCCGCTTCTCGTTCCTTTTCTCGTGGCTGTCTTTGGTCGCGCTGTCAGCCGCCGACATCCATATCAGTCTTTACGCTCCAGATAGTCAGAATCTTTTCACTTATAAATCTCCCGATAACTCCGCGAATCCCGTTTCCCACCAGGACAAGAATTTTCGATCACACGCATCGTCGTTCCATAAAGATATTCTATCGCGATTCTATCCCCCTCCTATATATATATATATATATATAGAACGAGTGTATATTCTAAACGAAAATCCTTCGTCGTTCAACTCGGATTTTGCCAAGCCTCGACTCTAACAGAGATTCAGATTCGCGGTGGTATTTGGAGGGAGGGGGTTATACCGATCCGTATAAAATTTGCATCGCATTCCAAAGCAAAACCCTTGCCAGCTCTGGCGAGTAATAGCGTAGTCGTGCATCGTAGGTAGAGATCTTTGAGGAGAGATCTCACCTCGGCACCTCCGCAAAACTCCGCGAACACATTAATGTAATAAAAGAAAAGAAAAGAAAAGGAAAGGACAGAAGAGGAGAGGGGAGAAAAGGAAGGAAGAAAGGAAGGAAGGAAGGAAGGAAGGAAGGAAGGAAGGAAGGGAAGGGAGGACGGTTGGAACGAGGGCAGGGAGGGGGAGAAAGGTAGAACAAGGGGGGGCCGCGGTCCTCGTTTCGTCTCGTCTCCCCGTTTCAAGCGTCCCCTCCCTCCAATTCTCTCGTGACCATAAAGGTTTGTGTTGTGCGGCCGCATCGCCGTCGAGCCGAACGGTAAATCAAGATGGTTGCTTTACGTAATGGAGTTGCACTGGCTACATCTTAATTAGGAAAAATCTGGGAGCACATCCGTTTCCAACTCGCCGATCCTAGGCGGAGTTAAGGCGCCCATTGCATTCTCATTAACCGTCTCGCTTTTGAATGCATCTTATATATATATATATATATATATATATATATATATGGCGGATCGCTCGTTACACTATTTATCTTTCGAGCCTCTTGTTTCGCAGAAGAAAGTTCGAGTTGCGTTCGTATATAATAATAGTAATAATAATATAATCGCACGAGGCTTGTACTTGTACATGCATCGGTTTATACATTTAGATGGAAAGTTGGATGGTCTCTAAAAGAAATGCTCGAATTTGAAAAAAATTTTTCTCAAATACAAGCGAAGTTGGTCAATTGGATTGGCCAAGAGATGTGGAAATGAATTGTCGATAAATTAATTTTCTTCGTAAAACAAGTTTTTCTTCTTATCTTCAAATATCGGGAATTACCTTCTATCGATATCTATTAATATTCGTTTTCGAGAAGTTTAAATCTTAATGATATTTTTTATAAAAGTTTTTAATAAAATTTAAGGAGTTGATTCCTCTCAAAGAGACTATATACAACCCGTTATTCACGATATATATATATATATTTGATGCGAAACACGGTGCGCCATTTTGACAATTTTTATCAATCGAATTCGCGGTCGAAGATTAGAACGAGTTGTATTAAAGTTAACAAGTTCGTTCTGGTTCGCGTTCGGTGATACGTTCGCGTACGTGATCAGAATGGATATATCGCGATCGTTCGTTGTCGAAATTTTTCCGAATTCTCTGCAGGTTACTGGAGAATTTTAAACGCTGGTTTTCAGCCCCCCTTGGTATGCCAAGATGAATGTTAATCTAAATTTACGTTAAATATCCGATCACACGTATTAATCAATTAATTGCGAAACAACATGACAACGGAGACAAGTGGCGAGGTCTCGTGTCTCGAGCGTCTCCATCAAGAAGTACGAACGTCATTTTCCCGTCACACATCCTATAAATCCATCCATAACCTCCATAACCACTCGTAACACCGTTTCACTGTACACATTTCCCGCATAGGCTTTTAATTGTCTGGATACATTCCCGAACAAAATCGTCGAATTGAACAGCTTCGTGAACGAGTACATGCCGGAATCTGTGAAAAATAACAAATACGACGACACGATCCCCATCGAGGGTAAAGTCAAGTGTCAATCGACCATATCCACCTCGAAAAATTGCGATCTAAACAGTATCTCGGATTACGGCGGTAATTATCAATGTTAAAATTCACGTTTCACGTTTCCATTCATATCAGGACGGACCTCCTTTCACTATCACTGGTTCCTATATAGTTTCGAGTTACTATTCTCTGTCGATGTGTGATCGCAGTCGATCCCGACACGGTATTTGCAAAAGGAAATACTATCGTTCCCGAGGCATAACTGGTTGCAACGTGCGTCGAAGGCCAGGACCACTTGGACAACTGTTGGCATTTTTATTCAGCACACTGGCCACGTGCACGAAAAAGATCGTCATAGCTCCGTCCCAGTACATCGTGGACAACATAATCCCGACGTTCTTCCAAAGGTGGGTGGTACATATAACCAACGAAGAATAAAAATTAAAGATAACCCATATCCCTTTGGAAGGCGAGAATTGAAGAACGCACAATGCGGACCTTCGTCGAACTGGAGTAGTTCCCTTTCCACTTACGTGACCACGTTAAAGAAAGACACGACGGTGATCGGGAAGCTGATCGATATTATGAGGCCCGCCGTAGTGAAGCTAATCACCGACACAACGATCGTAATCATTCCCCCTCCCTAAATTCCTTACGCGTTTCAATCACCTTTTCCCCGCGTGAAAACACGGTCTGAAAACCCTATGATCCCTGTTTCAGTTGAAACGATGGCTCCAAGCGATCGCCCTGGCCACCGCGTCCCCCCCCATCGAACTAACCAACGCGACTCGCAACACCGAGACCATCGATTGTTGGGCGTACGAGCTGTTCTTTCATCTCAAGTACCTTCAAGTGAATCGCGCGCGGCGGACCACCGACAAAGTAATCCTTAAATCCTGATTTAACCAACCAATTTCCCTTCCCCTCCTCCCCCCCCTCCGTTTTTATTCAGTTGCAATCTTATCAATGAAACTCTCCCCCTCTCCGTAGGTGATAGCCGAGGCCGAGTCGAAATCGAACGACGTGATCCACGCAAACCTGTGGCATCGTTTGGTACAGCTTCGCGATAATTATATCATTCTGTACGAAACCTTGCAGAATTACGATAAAATTCGCGGCATCGAGTCGGAGAAACAGAAAGAGTAACGCGAGAAAATTTACTCACGTAACTGTCGAGAGAATATATATATATATATCTATATATATATATATATACACGCTATAGTCGGCTCAATGCAATTCCGTTTAAATTTCCATCGAATAAAAGCAACGTAGAACGTTCTAATTCTCTCGCAGTTTTCCAAGGTACGTTAACGCCAGTAGTTTCTAGCCGAGGAGAGAAGGGCCGCCGGTCGAGACTCTCGACCGTTTGTTTCGACACGATTGAACCGACATGGCACGCTATTGTATAATCTAACATTTAAACGTTCGTGCCGAGGAAGGGAACAGAACACGCCGGACAGGCGTTCGGGAATTTTTATTTCACCGAGATTGCACCACACGATCCGCAATCGCAATCACCCTCTATCGAGATCCATTTTTCCACTCGAGCAAACTAGCGCAATCTACTTTGCCGGATAAAACTGTAAAAACCGTTGGTTTTTTTTTTTTTTTTTCTTTTGTACCCCGGCCGAATAGGTACACTTGGTTACAAACAATTAATATACGTTTGTACGTTGTTCGCGGGATTAACAGTTTCAGTAACAATTTCGATTGTAGAGTATTTTTAACAGAATAGAAAGATAAAATGGAAAAACTTAACTTAACCTAGAGAAATTTTTCGTTCGCCGAAAACGTTTTCGAACGATTTACGATTTACGATCTTTTCGATGATACGATTTTACGTAAGAAAGAAGAAGCATCGAGGGATAACGAATTAATCGACGTAAGGAAATGTACGTTTAGTTAAATCCGTTAGACTCGAGCGTAAGTTACAATTCAGTCAACGTAAGTGCAATATTAAAATTCATCTCGATTCCTTAACACATTCGAGATGGTAGGAAAAATCGAATCGTAATCGACATTGATTTTTTGATAAATATAATGAAACATTCGGCAAAATGGGAAATATTATAATATTTGTATATTATAAAACTAATATTTATAACTCGAAAAACTTTTCTTTAAAATTCTGTCTTTAATGACGTCTCTATAATAACTTTCTGGAATTTGTGCTTATGCACTCTCTTAGAAGCACTTAGTAGTACTTAGAAACTATTTACGTATCTGGAAATAACTTTATAACACGCAATGACACTTTTAAACCTTCTGAAAACAGAAAACGTGATCGTGAGATTTTCAATAATCCAATATATGAAACACTTTTCACTAATCTCGAATGTGTTGATCATCATTCTTTTGCTTTCATTGTAATACATTGTCACTCAACACGAAATACAGGTAATAAAACGTAGCTAGGCGCAATGGATTTAAATATCCAGCCGATTCTTCTATTCCCACGATAAAGATACAGAGACAAGTCTTTCCCTCGAAATCGAGGGAGTGTCGATAAACATCACGATAATTGTATAATGGAGAAAAAGGAGTCATCGAAAAAGAGGTTATATCGCTCCGGATGCAAAACTCTGGAATGGAAATCTAGAAAGCATTGAACGATTCTTCAATGGTAGGAAGAAGGAGAAATGAGAAACTGTCATCTTTGAATTAATGCATTCTTAAATGATTTTTAAATCAAACGCTCAAGTCCAAGATACAAATCGATAAATGTCACTGGCAAGACCGATTGCAGCGAGCGTGATCGCCAACTAGATGGCACGAGCATCACGATCTACTCAAGTGAGATTAACACGAGTTCGCAAAACGATTCCCGCGATATTGACTATGATGAATACAACTGTCAATCGTCCAGACGCTCGTGAAACAACTCTCGTAGATGTTATTGCGCTATTAATATCGAGATATAGGCAGTATTAACCCTTTGCACTCGCCGATCGATTTTAATACAGAAATGCGGAATAAAAGTTTCAGTGACAAAAATTAACAGATAATTGTATTGTTATTATTTAGGTAAAAAACAAGAAACGATAAAAATATTTATTATACCTCTCAAAAGAAAGAAAAATAATATTACTTTCTTCTAATAGAATTAATCCCAAAGGCTAGCTAAATTCCCTAGCTTCGGAATTCGCACTATGAAAATAGAGATTGTTAGGGAAATTAGTACCAACTTGTAAAAAGAGTTTGTCCCTTCGTGTTTTTCTCTTCACTCACCGATTATTACGAAGGGGGAGATATTTAAGTAAGCTTTTCCCATTTAAGCGTTGGATATCCGTTGGCACATCTAGGCAAAGGTAAAAGCGTTGAACGAGTACCGACCCCAACTAACCTGTGATCTTGGTTGATAGTTGATCGCGGGTTTAAACCCAGCTCCATCCATAACAGCCTCGAATGAAATCCCTCGTGTGGTGGCTCCATCGTGCGAACGAACGGTAGTCACGACTTTGATTACGTACCGTGTAAAACACCGAGCGCGAGAGGAGAAATAATCAAATAGAAAGAGGGAGAGAGACTTGAACGAAGCGAGAGAAAGAGAGAGAGAGAGAGAAAGAAGTGGACGCGAGATAAAACCGAATTTATATTCCGGCGGATAAGAAGGATATAATTAAATCCGTTTCGATCCCCCTCGCCGTTATCCGGGCCGTATAAATAAATTTTTAACTATATAAACGCGTTTAACTATTATCGCGTTCGAGAAAAATCGAGAAATCCATAACAACTCGAAACAATTCGAACGAGAATTGCGCGCGCAACCGTTTATACGCGTTGTTAAGTTTAAGAGAAGAGGCAGGGGATCAGATGGTCGTAAGATCATAGACGGGGCTACCGAGATCGCTAGAGAGACCGTTAGAGTTAACGACGAGTTCGCTTCCCTTCTCCTTCTCCGCCATCTTTCCGCCTCGCAATTTCTACGAGTGGATATATCCGCGATAGTGCGGTAGCTCGCGGAGGCGGTTAACGATGAGATGAACGATCCGTTCGCAAGAACGAGGTTATGTTTTATAATCGCACCAAAAGGATACAAAATGGCCCTTTTACGGTAAATTAAATTAAATTCGATTCTACGTTTCACGTGATAGCTCTGTCGCTGTCTCTATCACGTATTGTTGGATGCAAGAAGAGCATTTTTGAGCGAAATATTCGATTGAATTAATACGTTCTTTTTATTTGCAGGTGCTTCAAAAGTATGTATGTTTTTATGAGTCAAGTTATGTTGGAAGTCAATATTTTTTTTAAAGCTATAGTTCTCGATGAGAAAAAACTAAGAATTAAATTTTAATTAGAAATTTGAATAATTAATCGTGTTACACGTAATATTATTACTTTTTTTTATCATATATGAAGCGTTTAAACGTATTATACGAGCGATGAAATCTCTTTGAATGAGTTATTGAGGATCGAGTGAATGTTTATGCTAGGATACCAGTTACGTTTGTGTGATAAATGATTGAACGCAGCATTTGGATCTCGAACGATCGATCGATTCTTCTTAACCTTTTAAAGGGTTAAGACAGCGTTAAGTGAGAGCGTTTAAAAAAGAGAAGTAGATTTATAAGTTTATAAGTTTTACGATTAAAAAATTAACGTGGATAAAGGATTGGATGTATCAAAAAACGAATAAAAGATACATTGCTTAATAAATGTTAAAAATTATTATTAAATATCTCAATTCAAACCTCGCTTTAAATTTTATCAAAGAATTGCGATCCTAATTTTTTGAGAATTCAATTTCAACTTGGATAAGAAAAATTCGGTCCACTTCTACTTTCGAAAACGTCATTAAATCATTATCGGTCGCGGAATGGAAACGATAGTTTCTCTTGTTATAGCACAAAGACCATGATGCACCGTGTTCCCTTTCGAAGATTTACGGTACGAAGGTGGAAACAGGTACCGTGATAAAACGGATAAAAAGGCATCGCTCGTGATGTAGTTCGTTCCTTGGTTGGACTCGAAACGAGCAAATTGTAGAGTCAAAGATAAATCTCGGCAAGATTTCACACCCTCCGGCACGCCCGCTACGTGTATAAAATCTCCCAGTTCTCTCGGTCAAATGCTTTCCACTCTTTCCTTCCATTCGAAATCGCCATTCTCGAAAAAAAGGAGAGAAAAAGAAAAAGAGAGATAAATATTTTACGGCCACGGAACAGGTGCGATTACATTTGAATCGTCCCGATATCGTATCGAACGAATCGTTTATCAAAATCGATGATATATCGATTATCGAAGAATGGAAAAGTAAGGTGACGTAATTTATACGAGCACACGGAACTCGGATCGTGCACGACAACAATGCGCACAATCCCACTGCGCATAACACGGGTGTCCCCTCAATGCTCCTTTAAGTCAAGATCCCGTGCAACCGCAATGGTAGAAAGGAAAATGATTTTATAATAATCGTGAAAAGCTGTATACGCTCTATACGGTTGTAACCAAGGGAATCGTGGGTGTGTTCCTCCAGGCCTGCCACAACCGGGAACAATATGACATTATGGTAAATGAGCGGGGCTATTGTCGTGAAGGAACGTATTACGTATATTCCTTATTCCTTAATAAAACTCTCGTCGAGCGGATCAAAAGTTTCTTTTGCCAGTTTCTGATCTGAAAACTGGCGGTTATATCGAAAGTTACATCGATATATTTTCCGAAGGATAGGAATAGTATATACGATTACGAAAGTATCGTATCGAATTTTTCCCCCTTAAACACAACGGAATAAATTATAATCCAGGAAAACGCGCGTGGATCGATCTCGAATTTCAGCTGGGTCTGTAACCACATTCGCGTGTCTTCATTTACCGCGTTATACGCAAGAGCGGTCACCCATAGATCCGTATAGGTTGTCCTCAACGTGCACGAGGCGCACTCTATCTAATTCGATCCGTGAAAAATTTAATATAAATCGTGAGTGAATTTTGTCACCGGGGCAGCAACGTTTACGTAATATCGACCGTGTGCACGAATAATTTTGCGCGATTACAAAGCCTGCGTTTTATATTATATCCTTTGCGATTAATCTGCGTCGAATATCGAAACGAAATATATTGGAAAAAAAATTGTGGAAAAATTTTTTTTAAGATATGTATAAATTCGAAGAGAATTTCTTTATATAATTTTGTTTGTTCGAT